GGAGATAAGCTAAGGCATGTTATGAAAGCCTATATAACCAAGGACTTAAAACAACAATCCAGTGAGTATTATTTACCTGATTCCAACCGTTATCTTGCTTTTTGATTTAGTAGTATCAAAATCTTGTGTAATATTTTATACATGATGGACTTCTAAAATTAAATACAATTTTACTGTTACTCTGACCCTCCTCTCTCCTCACGATACAAGGAATCTGTGGAACAGAGACAATATGCCTACCCTAAGGCTGGCCTCTACTTTGGACATTTGAGATCCTGAATCTCTCCACAGATAGCCTCAGACCTATTTCCAAGGACTATATGAGCTTGTTTCCAGGGATATATTTGGGGAGCTGTATTATAGGAACGAGAGAGAGTGTTGCAAACTTATTGTGGGTTTATAGGCTGAGCTACCTACATTCATTCCTAAGCTGAAGTGTGAAATGGGCCTGGGATTGACTCTTCCCTGACCACTTTTTCTGGTAGGGAAATCCAAGGATCCTGAAAATTTTAAGTCAAACCTTGTTCTTCAGGCCATTAAGCATATGTCTTTGTTAAAGGAGGATGTTAGGACACATTTTGTTCCCTGAGCTTATGATCTTAAGTTATAGTTTGAAACATATGGTTGTGTGCTATTATTTGTTTTCTTGCCCTGGGTTCTTTAAATACAATGCTGTACTTATATGAAATTTGTGCCTTCAAAACAACCTGGTAAGAAAATACCTTAACTTACATCATGTTAGAATTCACAGGATATAAGAGAACAGATAAAGTGCTGATCATGTACCTCTCTTCATATATTCTAAAAGAACATAAATTTTAGTGATTACTTAGGCCCTATTTGTGTCAGAAAGAAATAGATTTTTGCACCAAAATTTAGAATTGTTTAAAATTGGACTTTATAGCAGTGTTCTGGATGTTTTGTTTACTTAGTAGATTTGGAAATGCACATGAAGACAGCCATAAAGATACACGTATTATATATTTAACACTCGTGCAATAACCATCATTCATTTGGGATCTGTGCTCTGACAAAGAAATGTTTGAGCCCTCCAAAACCCCAGTGACCTTTTAGTCTCCTTGCTGTTATATACAGTTGAGAAACAGGCCTGCCACCCCAACAGCACTTTAATGGTTTCTCATTAAGTTTGCCATGGAAATAAGGTCAAGGGCTTTCTTATCTCTTGGCTCATTTGGACTAATAATAATATGGCTCACTACCCACTCTTGCTACTGGCATGGAATTATTAATTTTCTTTCATTTTCAGTACTTTCTCAATATAGTTGACAATCATACAAAAAAAGACAAAGCTGGGAAGGAAGGAGCAGGGATGATTAAAAACATATTAACAGAGATGAGGACAAATTAGCATTTTATTGTTGATCTATATTCTGGATAGTCTTTCCATTTTCTTCTCACACTTTATTATTTTCATCTTCTGCTCTATATTAATCTGGTTGGGCTACCATAAGAAGAAAATCCTGGGGGAGGTGGTGGAGATGGGAAGGGATGGGAAGGGATGGGAAGGGGAAACAAAGGAGGAGGCAACAATGCTTGATAAGAAAATAAATCATTTAAATAGTAATACAGGTGGACCCATTGCAACAATGAGATGTACAAGTTGTTATGTCGAAAATGAACTTTACAACTTTGGCCTGGGGGTGGGGGGGGTGGGTAGGAGATGGGAAGGGATGGGAAGGGGAAACAAAGGAGGAGGCAACGATGCTTGCTAAGAAATGTACTCATTATCTTGCCCATGTAATTGTAACCCTTCTGTACAATATTTTCACAATAAAAAAAGAAGAAAATCCTATAGAGTGGGTCGTTTAAACTACAAAATTATTGTTGCTGATGTTGTTATTGTTGCTACTACTACTACTGCTGCTACTACTACTAACTACTACAGTTTTGAAGGGGAAAAAAACTGAAGAGCAGGCAGCTGGTCAATTGAGTTTCTGGTACAAGTCATCCTTCTGGCCATCTTATAAAATCTGACATGGCCCTTTCTTGGTTATGTTAAAGAAAGCAGAGACAGATCTATGTCTCTTAAAAGGCACAAATACTATTGGATTTCCTGAAGACCTCATTTTATTATCTCCTAAAAACCCCATCATCAAAATTAGTCAAATTGGAATTTAGGACTTGTATGTAAGAACTTTTAGGGACCCAATTCCACCACATACCACATGAATAAATACCCAATATTACCTAATTTCTCAGAATGCTGGTTCAGACTAATTGCATCCTAATTGCATCTGAGGAAGGCTGCCCATGAGGGCTGCATGAAAATCACGTTGATTCTCTAGAATGAAAAGGAAAAACAGAAGTCAGCTCTGCAGTGTCCACTCACTGAAGGCCTGGAGGACAAACATATGAACCTCATTCCTTTCATAATCTTGTCATAATGCAGTAGAACACAGCATCATATTTCTTCTGAATTTCCACTTCTAGTGTAAAAAGTTTGAGGACCAACCCTTAAAGCCAAACTGGTGGAAGAGCTCAGAGAACCAATATGCTAGTCTATCTTCAGACAATGGGGATAAAACAATTTAGTGCTAATCGTGATTCTAGAAAGATCACTCTTGAGAGAAAACTGTACTTGTAACACTGGTCAACACTTTTTAAACTGATTTCACGATGTTAAGACTATGACCTTTATATAAGATTTTCTTTAGTAAGACAAGAATGATATATTTTAAACATTCACTTCTGTTCATTTTCAAAATGTTTGAAAAAAAATAGAGAAATTGAGATGGAAAAGACAGTTCATGTAAGGATCTGTAAAATAATTTTGTCTCATTGTGAAGATTGAAGTTGGAAAAGATATTCATGTAAGGATCTGTAAAATAATTTTGTCTCATTGTGAAGATTGAAGTTGGAAAAGATATTCCCAGTTTCTGAAATAAATGAGCACTCTAGCTTTTCAGTTTATGTTTATAGATAATGTTCAGTCGTGGGAAGATTAAAAGTTTTCATTTTAGGGGCAAATATGGTAGATTTTATAAGATTTATGTATGATTAAATTTCTAAAACAGTGGAAAACTGAAATAGTTACATACAAATAGTTAAAGTTTCACAGAATATCCTACTCTTACTCTCTAAGTATTAAGTTTTCTCTTTGACAGTTTAATAAATACCAAATAAGAATGATAATCACTACACCTACCAGGATAATTAATGTAATTTTTACTTAAAACTAAAAGTAAGGGCAGCTTTTAATAAGTTTAAATTTATTTGTGAAAAGAGAAGGAAAAGAAAATGTCAGGACTAGGAAGGTGGCTCAGTGGTAGAGCACTTGCCTTGCATGCCTGAGGTCCTGGGTTCGATTCCTCAGCACGACATAAGCAAAAAGAAAAAAGCCGGAAGTGGCGCTATGGCTCAAGTGGTAGAGGGCTAGCCTTGAGCTGAAGAGCTGAGGGACAGTGCCCAGGCCCAGAATTCAGTCTCCACGACCGGACCCCCCCCCAAAAAAAGACAATGTCAGGGAGAAAATCAAATGCCAAACAAAAATATTCAGTTGGTATAAAATTAAGGGGAAAAAAATCCCAGAGGATCTCATTATTATTTGACATAAACATTCCCTCACCAATTTATCAATAAAGAACTGCTGATATGAGCTTTTATCTCCATTTGCAAATGATATTAGGTTTTAGTTGAGAGGAGGGGAATGTAGAGGAGGGGAATTTTCAACTCCAGAATTGTTTTAGCTTCATGTTCAGTGTGTAAGATCATTAAATTGCATATGTTATTTCATGACTGGTAAAAGCTTTTGGGTTCAATTATTTTAGAATGATTTCAATTGTTTTGTAGAAGTTGAAGCATGTATTGGGGGTGGATTGGTTAAAAGTTGTCATGGATTTTCATGATGCAACTATAACCTCTCAGGATTTAATTTCCTTATTCAAAATGAATTTAGATAGTTCAGACCTAGACGGCCATAGAGTTTTCTTAGAGAACACATATTCTATGGCCATTTGGCTACTTATTGTGCTCCATATGCCTTAACAAAGCCTTTGACTTTATTTCCACTGCAAACTTAGTAAGAAACTATGAAAAGTGCTGCTGGGGTTGCAAGCCTGTGTCTCAATCATGCATGATGACAAGGACACTACAAGGTCACTGGGGTTTTGGCGGACTCTGACATTTCCTTGTCAGAGCACAGAAAGGGCAGAAACATCTAGAAAGTTCTCCATAGCCTTCTGTATCTGCTATATTACCTGAGTTTCTCCCAACATACCTCTCTAATAAAGCATCTTTGATTTGTTTTGAAGGCATAATCTATATCTTTTTAAAAAAAATCTTGAAAGGCAAGAGTTTTCCTTACACTAAAGTAAAATGTGTTTCATGTTTTATGTGTTGGCCTTGGTCCAAATTAAATAATCTGGTAAAGTCATTAAGGGAATTTAAAACTTAAAGAACTATTCTCCATTGTTCCTTTTCTCCAGATAAGCTTTACTATCTGAAAGAACTTATTTTTAAAAGAGCTTATTTTGGTTCAAAAGTATTGGTTAATATGTACCTTTGTGCTTAACTCCATTTTTTTTTTTCAAATGTCCTACTGTTCAGTGTCTAGCCTAACTTCTATTTCCTCTTGATTCTTAATTAAATATTTGGTGACTAGTCTATTGTTTCCTTCTTTATAAGATAGCTTCTTAGAGACAAATGCAGGGACGTACTAAGTATACATTGTCACTAATAAAAACAAATGATTGGAATAAGATCATGGAAAAGAACATTTCCCACCCACTAGAGACAACTGCTTATCTATAGATCTGCAGAGGGATTGTGAATGAGAAATAGTCGTTCTTTCTAAACTTACAAGTGAGTGTGGAACGTCTCAGTGATTATCGATAACTGGACATGTATCATATATATCTATCAGATGTAATTGCATAGTTATTGATAAAACATTGCAAGCAGATAGAATGGGTTATTATGTGGAATTAGTGTTTTAATCAATTTTAGCTGTACTCTAAACAATCTTTATTTTTTACCTGCAGATATGTGGTTGCTTGATCCTGGGAATATCAATATGGTTACGAGTAAGCAAAAATACAAAAGAGGTAAATACAGAAATAAATGTGAATTATTCTGTGCCAAAATAAGTTCAATTCTTATAATAATATGACAATAATTATAATAATTTCTACAGCATTTTCTTAACTTCTTAGTGTAAATTATTTGTATTGGTATATGAGTTTATAATTCAGTGAATCAAATTTCTTATTATGTGTTTGGCACTGTGCTGGATATGAAATAGTCCTGGAGAATAAGAGGAAGTAGTGTTTGAAAACTAGTAATATCTCAATAAAAGCAGAAATCATAAAGAGCTGAAGTAGTAATTTCTCTCCTTCACTATTTAAGGCTAGCCTGATGTCTGGCTTGAGACTACAGATCACCTGTGCTATCTTGATTGGTCCAAAAGGAATGTAGATAGATGGAAGTTCTGTTGGAGAAAAGAATATGAATCTGGATTCTAATGGCAACAAAGAGGAAAGAGAGTTGGTGTTTATTTGTCACAAATGGCATTGAAGGAAGGAGCTGGGGATATACAATTTACTGCCTATGTCAGATTAACAAACCTCCACTCACCTCCACTCATCACCAAACACCTTTACATGTCCAAGCAGAGTCTTTAGTAGGTTTGGAAGAAATTTACTTAATAGAACCCAGCCTTGGAACTCCACATGATGTAAATTCTATGATGCTAACTTCCTCTCACAAATACAGAAGGAAGGGAAAGAGATGTGTGTGTGTGTGTGTGTGTGTGTGTGTGTGGGGTTGTTCCTCAATGGGTTGAGTAATTGCTCGACATGTTGAGTAATAGCCTGACACTATCATCTAGCTTCTTTTCTTCTTCTAATCCTTTCTTTCCTTCCTTCCCCTCTTCCTTCCTTCCTTCCTTCCTTCTTTCCTTCCTTTCCTTCCTTCCTTCTTCCCTCCCTTCCTTCCTTCTTTGTCTCTGTCTCTCCCTGTCTCTCTGTGTCTCTGTCTCTGTCTCTGACTCTGTCTCTCTGTCTCTCTCTCTCTCATACCTTTCTCTCCACTAGAATGTTATTGTTCTTTATGCAGAGCAGCCCATTTATTCTTAGTTGATTGAACTCTTCACAGGATCACACTTATTGCCATAACCTTTCCTCTCTCAAGAAGAATCTTGATTGCTACTTAAATATTATAAAGACAATATTAAGCGAGTGAGGAAGACAATCCAATTCTATTAACCTGTACTACATCATTGTATAGCTAGCTGCATTTTATTTATTTATTTATTTATTTTGTGAACATACTGTACAGAGGGGTTACAGTTACATGGGCAAGATAATGAGTATATTTCTTATCAAGCATTGCAGCCTCCTCCTTTGTTTACCCTTCACATCCCTTCCCAGCCTCCCCCGCCCCCCCACCCAGTCCTCCCTGCCCCCAACCAAAGTTGTAAAGTTCGTTTTCGACATGACAGCTTGTACTTCTCATTGTTGCAACGGGTCCTCCTGTATCCTTAAATGACTTGTTTTTCCCCTTTTCCTCCACAGATTATACTGACATCAAATATAGTGAAAGCAGGGGTTATACTGTGGGGGAGGGACATACAAAGCAACAAAGAAATAATCTTATAAATGTGTTAGAAACAAATGCATGAAAGAATAAAAAACATTTAAATACATATCTAAGGGTTCATTTTCCTAACATCACATTATCTGACCTTTTCTGTTTGACTCATACATATACTAGATATTGCAAATAAGGGAAACCATGGGACCTATGTTTCTTTGGCTTACTTCACTTAATATAATTTTTTCCAAGCCTTTCCATTTCCTAACAAATGGGGCAATGTCATTCTTTCTGATGGAGGCATAGAATTCCATTGTGTATATATACCACATTTTCTTGATCCACTCATCTACTGAGGGGCATCTGGGTTGCTTCCATATCTTAGCTATGGTAAATAATGCTAGCTGCATTTTGATACCACCTAGTGGAAAGAAAGATTATAAACAAACTAATGCCTGCTCTCTTTCCTTTCTTGAAGAGGTTTGCTTTTCTGAAAATGAATATCTCTTCACCCTTGCCCCTCTCAACTTTCTTTGTGTCCCTGGAGAAGCCAGAGACTCATAGGGACAATTGGTTGTTTCCTCATTCTAGGACTGACTCACCGTGGTGAGAAACTGGGCGGGGGACAGGTGTGGCAAATAGTAGATAATAAACTCCAGTTCATTAGAATTTCATTTATTATTTAAACTGATAAGTGAAATTGGGTGCCTGATGGCCTAGAGATGTGACGTTTGAGCCTGAGGAGGATGGTATATGACAATGTGCATACGGCTGACTATGGCTTATAATCAAGCACAAAGATCAACAGTCTTTTTAAGATGTGGGTTTAACCTGCGTTTTATTTCATTATTTTATTTCTGGTGGATCTTTTCTTCCTCCTCGGTGTTTGTCATGAATAAGCTTAGTGTTTAGTCTGTTAAATTACACACATTGAACAAATTAAAAGAGCACCGTTATTATTTTTTTGCATCTCACAGACACATTTTATTCATGCCACGTAAGAAGTGGTCTCCTACAAGTATATGTACAGCGATGTTCCCTGTTCCAGCTAACAAAGCGTGATCAAATGTGCAGGCAGACTGGCGTTTCCCCTGGTGCAGAGGAGCTAATGATGGCCATGAGAAGGCGCAGGAGTGGAACCTTTTAAAGCCTTACTTCTTTTATCAGCACTCCTGATCCTATACACGATGATCCCATCAACCCCATCCCTACCCAGATCTCCTGGTAAACCTGGATGTAGTAGGGTTTCAGGGGTACCCGATATTTTTCATAAAGCTTTGAAGCATCCCGACAGGATGGAGGGTGTAGACCCACCGTCATTTTTTTTTTTTAATTTAATTTTATTTTATTTGAGAACATACTGTACAGAGGGGTTACAATTGCATGGGCAGGATAATGCATACATTTCTTACCAAGCATTGCAGCCTCCTCCTTTGTTTACCCTTGACCTCCCTTCCCAGCCTCCCCCCTCCCCCCCACCCAATCATACCCCCCCTCCCCCCCACCGACATTGTAAAGCTGGTTTTGACATGACATTTTGTACTTCTCATTGTTGCAACAGGTCCACCTGAATCCTTAAACGACTTGTTTGTCCCCATCTTCTCCACATGTTATACTGACATCAAATATAGTGAAAGCGATTTTTGAGCAGACGTAACTCCATAGCTGGGGGGAGGGGGAAGTGGAATTAGACAGCATCTTTTTTAATCAGCTGTCAGCTGATTATCCAGAACAAAAGTCAGAATATGCCAGATATTCTTAGCCAGGCTGCCTTATATGAATTTGGCTTGATTTATATTTATTTGAAGTTGGTGGCAAAAAACGAAGAGCTAAATTTTATTGTTAGAACTAAAGTAACAGTGTTACCACGGAAAATATGAGCCTAAACACAGAAAAGAAGGATGATGCCGAGGTGACATTTCTTTCTTCAATAGCGTCTTAGTGAGACTCTCTTAGAATAAACTCCCATGAGGCAAAATACAAGGGTAACCATCATTTCCTGGAGATTCTTTCTAATCCACAGAGGATCTTTGAGTCTTCAACCTTCAAACCCAAAACTCCTTTTTAGAAATCCCTCCATCTTTTTTTTCTTCATGTAATTTTATTATTATAAAGGTAATGTACACAGGAGTTATAGTTATGTCAGATAGAGTACAGTTCCTTTTGAATAATGAACAGTGTTACCCCTCCCTCACTCCCAGTTTTTCCATCCCATCCCCACTCACAAGTTGTATAGTTCATTTTCAACATAGTGTCTAGTGAGTACCACTGCGCATTTGTTCACCATTTGTCTCCCCAGTTCTGTGAACCCCTTATACTCCCCCAAACAGATATATGAACAAACAAGACAAAAGGAAAGGAAAACAAAAGCATCAACAGAGAACAAACCCTTTCATTTCCATTTCCTGGAGTTTATTTCAATAAATATTATTTTATATTATCAGAGGCACATAGGTGTTACTCCTTTGGATTCCTCTCCTAAGAATATCCTCCTTTTGTATCACTGTGTGTCCTGTATAATTCTTCATAACCCAATGTATTATTTTTCTTTTACCATCCAGTGTATTTACTTCTAGATTTAGAGGTACCACAAATGAGGGAAACCATGCAATCTATGTTTCTCCATCTCCCCTCATCTTAAGATACACATAGACTCAGTGTTTACCCAAGACAGCTTTTGAATGTCTTCCCTTTCTCTGCTGGAACAAACATCTGAACTCAAATTTCCATTTTAGTCTTCAATAAGAATAGACATTTGTTGAGTGGGACTTGGCTCAATGATTCATACTTACTCACTGTCCGGTACAGTCTCACAGAAGTACCTGCCCAGGTGCTACTGGACTACTCAGTCTTCAGAGGCATTTGTTATATTATTTCCAGCTCTGAGATATCTATTTTAATTTCTTATAACCCAGCTAGAGATGTGTTAGGGTTTTTTTGTGTGTGTTTACCGATGAGTCTATAGAATTAACCAATTCTATAATTAACCAAGTGCTTTTTGGCCACATCTTCAGACCCTCTAATGTCATGCCTATTGACACTATTATTTCCTACCTTCCATCTTCATCAAATGGTTTTTTTAAGAATCCCCCAAACAAAAATACATAGACTAGAACCAAGCTTTCAAAATATGTAAATTGAAACATTATCTGTAAGCACACACTCCTGGAGACAAAGGAAACTTTAGAATTTACAGACCTGACCCACTTTCCTTTCAAAAATGAGAAACTGGCCTGAGTGTACCTGCCTGTCCTAGAGTTACAAACTCTACTAGGACTCTGAGTACAATATGGATCTTTGTTTGAAGACTTTAGTAATTTCAGTTTATTTCTTCCTACTGATTGCTGAATTTAAAAATGCCTTTAAAGGAGAAAGATTATTTGTCGTGGCATTAATTCGATTAATTAATTAATTAAGAGGTGACCTCCAGGCTGTAAGGTTCTGGATAGTGTTTCTGAATGAACAGAGGAAGTAGCACCTGCGTAGTGCCAGCTCCATAGACAGAGCTTGTATAGCAGGCACACGTGCTTATTCTTTTTTTTGCGGGGGGGGATGTTTTGCTTTAATTTAATTTATTTTTTTACAAGTGCTTATTCTTTAACTGCCCGTGTATGGAGGGAGAGTGGGAGAATGAGGGTAGGTAGTATTATGAAGGTATTTAGGTTGTTTGGAGAAGCACTGAATAAAAGACCTTGGGATGTTATCTTCCATATCCCATTACTTAACAGGCAAAGAGAATAAAGAGCTTTTTGAGGACTGCTCCTTCTGGGAATGAGAAGAGAGACTCGATATGAAATATCAGGAACTGTATTTCTTTTTTGCCAAGATGCAAGGCATTATTATTAAGATAAAACTTCCTCTGTCCCTGTACAGTCAAGTCCTGCTTTCCTTCCTGTTTTGCCCAAAGGCAAACACTGCTTTGATTTTTATCACTGAACATTTGCCTGTTCTTGAACTTCATATACATCATCGTGTTTGCCCTTTAAAATATGGCATTTTTTTGCTCACCACAATGGTTATGAGGTTATCCATGTTATATCTATGAGTGATTTGAAGAATTTGGGCATTTTCCTCCCAAGTTAAAAATAATTACACATGTTCTATAGTGCTACATTAGGTACAAATACAAACAGTTTGACTAAAATCACATCAAGAAAAGTGAAAGCAACTTTCAAAACAGCTTTAAAAGATATTAAGCTTCTTCCAAAAAAGCATAATCTTCATATATTTCTTTCACAAGTTTTATACCAGGTCATTTGAAAACATTTAGAAGTTACAAATAAGCACAAAAACAATCCTTCAAAGCCAAGCAGGAACAATTATTATCTACTCACTGTGTGCCTAACCCCAGGGTGGTTTCAGTATATTTAGGTAATATATATATATATATAAACAATAAAATCTGAATTGTGAATATATCTTCATGCAATTAATTAAATACAGCTTATTCTTCAAGTCATAAACAAAAAAAGAGTGTTCTTAGGATAATTGGAATCAAATGCCATACCTAAAAGTTTGATTTAAATAAAAACTACTTTAAAAATCTATTTCTACCGGCATCCTACCTTGTACCGTGTCAGGAATAGAAAGCTTTTACAATGACAATTTCATACTATCAGATAAATGTTAGGTATAAAGGTTGACTTTTTTTTTCTTGGAATTCACGAATTTAAAGTTAGAGCATGGGTTCTCAGATATACTCACATTTATAATCTAGAAGTAATAAGCCTTCTCTTGTGTGCCTACTATGTGACTGGTGGCTTTGTTCTGAGATCAGGGAAGTGTTTCACGGTGCTAGAACAGGGCCTGTCCCATAGTAGGCACTTAAGAGATACCTATAGAATAAGAAAATTAATATGAAGAAATGGAATTTTTACATCATTAAGCTCTTTTTAATTTCCAGGTCTTCACTCCTGAGGACTCTAGCGGCGACCCCTTTGTTGCCGTGAATATCCTCATTGCTGTGGGTGCTATCATCATGATTCTGGGTTTCCTGGGATGCTGTGGTGCTGTGAAGGAAAGCCGCTGTATGCTTCTCCTGGTGGGTTTTCCAGACAAAACTCCATCCCCCCCAAATCCAACATGTCAGTTCAGTAGTGTAATCCATCTTGATCAGTGTCACCCCATTCATCACGCTCCCCTCCAACCTATTCCTACTCAGATTTCAATTCTGGAGGGCTATTTCCTGCCCCAATTTCAATCAAAAGACACCTAAAATTGATAGGACATTGACTTCTGTTCAGAGGCTTTGATTATAGAAGTTAATACAGCTTACTTAGATTTGGTTTATTTTGGTTTAGATTAGAATATATAATATAATATTCATTACATTCATGTATGATTCCAACTTATCTCCCTTTAATACTAGATAAATTCAAATTAGTCTTAATCAGTAAAGTTTTACTGGCACTACTTTCTTTAATCAGTATATGAGGCAAATGCTTCTTAGTGACAATGGAACTCAAATCTGCAGTTTGTTACGCAGGGTGGGATGCATGAGAATTGTGGTTAATGCTTTTACTATAGGACAATCCAGACCATAAAGGGAAGTTAATGCCAAAATGTCTGCTGCTATCGCATGGAAGATAACAGATACCCTCCTTTTTCTTCTTCTAGTTTTTCATAAGCTTGCTCCTGATCCTGCTTCTGCAGATAGCAGCAGGTATCCTAGGAGCTGCTTTCAAATCTGAGGTATGTACACAAATGATATTTCATACTTTTGGGGAAAGCCTAAGACATGGAAATACTACCTTCTGGTGTGAATGATTTAACCTTGTTTTTCAATTTTCAGTCTGTTCGAATGCTGAATGAAACACTCCACAGAGATGTAAAGCTTTTGAGTGAATCAGGGGAGGATGGCAAAAAATTCCGGGAAGCAGTGAGTTCATTTCAGAAAGAGGTAATTAGAACTTATTGGTCATTTGGGGAGCTGAACCTAATTCTTTCATTTAATTCCATAAGGAATGAGCAACTGTATCCATTTTTGCAGATTTTGATGTCACAATGCAGTAAGGAAAACTAAATAATTTTAATGTGTTTCAATTTCCTAATTATAATCTGAAGATATTTAGATCAGATTAAATTAAATTTTAATTGGGCCAAAGAGCTAATTGTTCTAATATAGAATTTACTATATAAAGGCAGTTTGTTGAGGAGTCGCTGTCTCATTTTCTTTCTCTTTACCTTTCCCTCTCTCTCACCTTCTCACCAAGTTTTTACATTGGGTGGCTCGTTTAATATTCACAACATCCCTACGAGGTATGCTCTAGCTTGTTTTGCATTGCTATAATAAAATATTGATGCTGAGTACTTTATGAGGAAACAGATTGATTCAGTTCACTGCTCTGAAGATTCAAAAGCATGTCGTCAGCAGCTGCACAGGGTCCTGGGTAGTGGTAACACTAACTCATTTTTGTAAAACTCCTCCCCTACTACCAACACTCCTTAAGATAATAATAATCTATTCATGTAGATGAAACCTCAGTCACCTAATTATCTTCCAAAATGTCCTACTTCTTAAAAGTTCCTTAACCACTACATTGGGAACAAAATTTCCAGCATAAGGAACTAGGGAAACCATACTCAACTCATAATAGATGGTAATAACCCCAGAAACTTTATTATAAAGACAAGGCTTGGGATTTTGAGAAGTATGACAATGAACCAGTGATAAGGTTGGAATTTGAATACAGATCTAGCTGACTAGATTATTTTGTTTTCATGAGAACAACCTCCTCCTCCTCCTTCTTTCCACCTTCCTCCTTTTCCCTCTCTTCCCTCCTCCCCTTCCCCTTCCTCCTTCCCCTCTCCCTTCTCCTCTCTCTTTCCCTCCTTTCTTCACTGTATTTTTTTCTTTAGAGTTAAATCAAAGCATGAGGAGACAATGGAGGTATTCTGCAGTAAGACCCCTACTCAATCTTTTAAACATTACTAGACATTGTTCCCTAAGGGAAATACTACTGGAAGCCAGGTTTGTCTATTCAAGGTTCTTTGAGCAATGTTGTCTTTCTGTCATGCAGCCATTGTTTCCCATCCTTAGAGTGTACTCTCAATGAATACTGTACTCTAAAGCTTGACTTAAATAATTATATTGTGGAGCACCTCTTCACCATACCTCTTATTCAGAATTTGCTTCATAGTAAACCACATACACTATTTTGTTCTGGTACATCATGGACTTTCTCAGATTCTTAGAGGTGCCTGGATTTTATATTTTATAGGTCATCTAGCTTAACTTGGAATTCTTCAAAGTATTTTGTAGTCATGGTTTTCACCACTGAAATATTGAAGATTTGAAAGTTTACCAATTTTTTCCCATCTCATTTATATTCAAGTCTGATGACTGATGGGTTCTTTCCTCATTTGAAATAAAACCTACCAAAATTTAAGCAATTTAATTCTAACTTATTTTGGATTTTGAAGAAACACAAAGTCTATAGATACATTTACATGTGGCAGCTTGTTCTTTTAAAAAATGGCTGTCATTTGACCCCTCAAGGTTTGTTTTTCAAGTGGAAACATCCTTAGTTTCTTCAGCTATTTATCAGATGACATTTTATTTATTTTTTTCCCAGAACATTCATCAGTTTCTATTTGGATAGATTCCAACTTATGGAAATTCTGCTTAAAGCATTATTTCCAAGAACCAAAGCCTGATATGGGTCAGTCCCATTTAACTTCCTCTGTGTTTTGAACTCTTCCTATTTTCCCTGGAGCTGCATCCTTAGATTACCTCCTCTCCTGGATTATAAACAGGATGTATCAAGCATCCTTTATCTTCCCCAATAAGCAGACCTAGGACAAAAGGAATAGAGATAATCACTGGGCTTCTGGGTTAGGTCCAGAGTCACATTTGCTGTACATTGTTCCTGGGATTTAAAGTCTCACTGCCAAATGTGAGTTATACTAAATGATTTCCTCCTCCTCCTCCCCCTCCCCCTCCCCTTCCTCCTTCTCCTCCCCCTCCTCCTCCCTCTCCCCCTCCTCCTCTTCTTCCCCTTCCTGTTCTTCATTTTTTAGCAAGTTCCCTTGATATGTTCTTAGTTCTATGCCTGAAGTTCCTTATAAATTTACATTTGTTTTTCTTAACTTTCCTCTTTTCTTTCCTTGTTTCCTTCCTCCTTGCCTCCTTCCCTCCCTTCCTCTCTCCCTCCCTCCTTTCTTTCCTTCCTTCCATTATATATATTTTTTTTTTGAGGAAGGATCTTATTCTAAATGCTGGTGATCTAGAGCACAAGGACGCAGGACAAAAATTGAAGATACTGAGTGGTTTTGTTTTCTCTTCAGATTTTAATGAATTTCCACACATATTCCCTGTTAACATATGTTAGAATGTTCCCCTTTTGCATTTTTGGTGATAGATATTTATTTTGGAGATGTTTTATACATTCTCCATGTAAAGTCTTTTTCATCCAGCTGTTACAATCTTTTGACAGATATGAGCAATTTCCTAATTTCTCCTACTGCTAATGTAGAGAACAGATATGTTGATAAACTTTAGTTTTCCTATCACTTCTCTTTTATGTTTCTATGCCTCGTTAGCAATCTTTATGTATATTATATCGAGATGTATATTATGTATTACAATAATGAACTGATTTTTGTGTATGTGTGAGAGAGAGAAAGTAAGAAAGAGAGAGGGACAGAGAGATTTATATCATTTTTTATTTGAATTTTATTGTTTTTTTAAAACTGTTTTTTTGTAAAATTCAGTCTTTAGGCCAAAGCGCAAGACTTTATATTTGCCTAAGCTAATTTGTTAGTTTAAATCCATTCTGTACAAACTTCGAAATACATTCTGTTATCTAGCCTAGACTCTATAACTAGTGTTGAACAGATACTAACTGTGGCTTTACACAAATCATGGGTAACAATGAAAAGATCATGTTCATGTGAGAACATAATAGAATAACAACAAGTGAACAACAAAAACAAAATTATAGCTGCTAATGGATATTATTAAGAGCTTTCTGTAAATCAGACTCTGAGTTAAACTCTTCCTTCCTTCCCATGAGTTCTCTCATTTCTACTACTAGCAGCTGTTACTATTTGTATTTTAGAGATGAATAAACCACGGCACCTGAAGTTTGAATAACATAATTTACATGACCATTCAGCCATGAAGCTAAAGTTCTTTCAGTATTCTGGCATTTTAATGCATCAAGGCCTGAAGTACTGGTTTTGTTTTCTTCACAATTATTTCCTACCATTTCTGCATGAAGAGTCTTTTCCCTACTTCGAGTATTTAGGAATAAGATGTGGGAGAATGACTTTTCTCACTTCCATCTAATAATATTGTGTGCCACATGCCTTGAGTCATTTGGCTTATCACTTCCTTGTTTTACATCCTCAAAAATGGCAACAAGTCCTCTTCCCCTATTCTTTAGTGTCTGGTTGTGTTTCAGTTTATTCCTGACATTTTCCTAAGCGCTCCATCCTTCGTTTTACTTGCTATTTTGAACATAACCAGGAAAATTCAATCCCAAACAAGGTCACAGAAGCTTTCTCTTTGGTCTGTGAAATGGCTCTCAACCCTTTTCCTTCTTTCCACTAAAAGTGACCCCTGATTGTGGGATGGGAATTTTAATCTTTAAAACTTGTTATCTCTTCTGAGCAACAGTTCTAATGAACTCTCTGGTAACTTCTTTGCTAAAATCCCAAACAAATACATCTGACTCTGCTCCTGCTTTTGCCATTAAATTTACCATGTAAGGTTTTGTTTGTTGTTTTCAGTTTTCTCAGATTTTGGCAATTGAGCCCAATTTTTTCTTCATCATTAAAGTGAAAAAATTCCTTTGTTGTTGCTACTCTGTTCAGAGAAGTGGGTGAGGTCATTTACATTTTGTCTTAACATATGAAACATTTTCATAATGACATTTAGAAGAATGTAATTCAGTGTATTAATAATGTTTTAAGCCTTCTTAGTAACTGCTTTCCATTCTGCTTTCTACCAAATAGCTTCAATGCTGTGGTTTGATCAATGGAGCTGCTGACTGGGGAAATAATTTTCAACAAATTTCTTCCTCATGTGAATGTCCAAATACATCAACTGATACTTGTACAATTTATGAAGGAAAATACGTTTACAAACAGGTGAGAAGTAAATCTCAGAATAACACGTGGTTCTGTTGTTTTCACAATGGATGTACAAAAAATTAAAATGCAGCAAGTAAAATGGGAATCATGATATGAACATGATAGACATTACTCAAGAAGAAAAAAGTCTAGCTAAAAAAAGATAAGTAGATATTAAATAATGGAAGTACTTCCTTTCTTCTGAGTTTGCTATCATGTAAACCCAACTTTATTTTATTTTTTATTGTAAAGATGATGTACAAAGGGGTTATAGTTACATAAGAAAGGTAATAAGTACATTTCATTTCAATTCCCCTTCCCCTGACTTCCTTCCCCCTCAAGTTATAAAGTTCATTCCCAACATAGTATCTTGTGAGTATCACTGTTCACCCTTTGAGCCATTGCTGGTCCTTGAGATGTGTGTGGAGGAGGTCAAGGGGAGGAAATATGCAAATGAAGAGATGACGAAGGGGAAGATGTAGTCATAGTATTCAGTGCCTAGCCTATGAAACTAGGAATACTGAGGGTTGGATGGAGATGGGATACATACGGAGAATGATAAAAGAAAGCAGTTATATTGATCAAGATGCATTGTCCTCCTAAACTGACATGTTGAATGATAAATCTCTTTGTACAACTACTTAAAGATACTAAAAATATCATAAAAGAGTACATAAAATATATGTGAAAAGAAAGGGCTTGTCATTCAGAGCCCTAGAGTCTAGGTGATGTTAAATGTAGCTGTTTACCCAGTTTTGTTGCAATAGAGAAAGAGCTTTGGCTATTTAAAGTTAATATAAATAAAAGACAAATCTTATCTTTTTACATGTTGTAGATGTCACATTTTTGTAACTTCTGGATATCAATGTGTACTTCTCTTATTTCTGTTTTTGATTACTTCATCAAATATTTATTGATCACCTCTTATATGGCCTCTCTCAACCACTAGAGATATATCCTTGAATAGAGTTCAATGTCTACACTCACAGAGCTGATGATAAAATAGTGAATGGAGAAAAGTAATTAGGCAACTTCAATCTAGTGAATTACTGGTTATGTTTTGATGGAGTAGACACACTTCTTAAGTCCCCATCTAACGAAGTCTCTGAAGCTCAGAATATGTCTTTATATAGGATGGGATATTTGGGCTTTTTCAAGCCCTATTCCTTCTGCCTGGAAGAAATATCTCAAAATGACAACTGCCATTAGTGTTTCATTTATTTGCTATTATTCTTTAGTGCCTACTCTGACTCTATCATTCCTTGTTTGAATCAGACAAACTTCTAGATACTTCAGGAGATTATAATTTAGTTAGAGAGGGACACATAAAAGCTATTACAATAATGAATTGATTTCTATAATGTTAATGATTAGTTTAGGTCAGGCATTGCTTTGGTTTAGAAACTACTATGCTACTAAGTTTAATAGATAAAACATCTGAGGGAAAATTTCTTACTACTAATCACTTTGTCATTGATCTTATCAGAATTGAAAAGCCTGTTCTGAAGCATTGCTATCACTAATATTTAAAATAACTCATGGGCCAGAAATTATTTTCTAGACTTCAGTGATGATGTGTTATTTTACTGTCAAAACAGTATCACTAGAAAAGTTCTATTCTTACACTTTATATTCTTCCCTACTCCCCTTATGCCTATCTAACTTAATCAAAACAAAAGATAGAAGTGAAATAAATATAGTTCAAAGGCATGTAATTTCTACTTAGGATAATGAGGAAATTGGCAACTCATTTGCAGATAGACACCTATCTCCTATTAAGGTTTCCATTTAAAAGTGTCTTTCTCAAGATAGAATCTGAAAAACCTCTTAAGAAAAGATACTCCCAGCAAATACATACGTAATTCAGCTGAATCTAGACTGCTGGCTGCCATGTTACCTAAAAGAAAGGCCATAAATTCATAAAGTGCTTTCATCTACAGCGTTCTTTGCAAGAAGTCTGAAAAAATAAAAGATTAGGAGAGGTCATAGTTCACATTTTTTCCTCTCTCTTCAGCCAAGATAAAAAGTAACAGGAGAGAAAATCACTCAAAAATAACAAATGTGACAGTAGATAAAATCATTAATCTCATAGTGAACTGTAAATAACACAATCATCTTAAATGTTTACTACTTTGGCTCAGATGTGAATGAGAAATCCATTATATCAAGGAATGAAGGAAAAGACTTGGTCTTACAGAGACCTTTTATTTTATCTAGCATGTAGACACATTTGTCAGCCTCTTACACATAAATGACTCTCACAGGGTAACATAGTCTGTGGTATTATAAACAATAGCACTATCACATTGGCTAGTATTTGTATTATTTTAAAAATTAACCTTGCAGTTTATAATTGTTGGAATCTTTTGAATTGGTTTGAAATGTTTTGCAATTGGAATTGCATGCTAGATTGTATAAAATTTTAAAAATCTGGTAGAGAAGCATCTTTCTAAATAGTTTTTCCTATCCCAAGTAATAACATAATGACAGACACAATGATTTGCTTCTTTTAAAGGTAAAGGTAACTCCAATAAATATTAGGAAAAGGTTTTGAAAAGTCCTTGAAAAATGAAAATTTAGAATGTAATTATCTAAAACTAGGGCCTCTCTCCTATGGATTATAAACCTGAGAAAAAATCCATAGTCAAAGTGATATCAACTCTAAAATGTGTAATTTGTATAATCCTTAGCCCTCATGTACCACGCATGAGGTCTAGAATTAAATTATTGTTTACATATTTTTAAATTATAGAAATGATAAGTTTTAGATATCTTGGTGAGAAATGTATTTACAATGATCAACCCATAGCTTCAGTAATTAGGTAACCAAAGCAAAATTTTGCTTCTTAAATGTAAGATATTGGTGAAAAACACATTATTATTTATAATTAAAGATTCTAGATTAAGCTGTTATGTAGCTGAGTTCCTCAGATGCTTTTTTACTATATAGAGAAGACACAGTGGTGATGAACTTTTAGAACAAGGATAAAACAAGGAGTAGAAGGACTCAGCCTATTCTTTTGTGTTGAGTCTGTTTTTGTCATACTTAAGAAATCAACCAAATTGAACAAAAGCTTTAATATGAGATCAGAATTTTATTAAAGGTAACACTTTTAATGTACTTTTATTGTCATTATTAAGGTGTTGTACAGAGAGGTTACCATTTCATAAGTTAAGTAATAAGTACAATTCTTTTGGGACCATGTCATCCTAAAGATAACACTTTTGTGTATATTTTTTCTTTACAGACATGCATTTCTTTGATTAAAGATGCAGTTGAAAAATATATCATCATCATTATTGGAGTAGCATTTGGACTGGCAGTTATTGAGGTATAGTATAATTTTTCATGATTGATTTCTACTATTTATCCAGTAATTCTTCTAACAAATATTTATGGGAAAATAACTTAAAACAAAGCATCCGAGGTGCATTAGAGAAGCACTTGGTACAAATAGCTTAAGGCCTAGCATCTCCCTAAATCAAACATGAATCAGACAGTAAAAGTATTACAGTTTAATGAGATAAGCAGGACTGAGGCTCTTGAATGACCTCTCTATTGAGAAAAAAAAATCAGTATATTTTGGCCCAGGTTTTGGTCTTAGATACCCTTTCCATAAGTACTCGAACCTCACTTGATGGTTCAGAGAAGTTCTGATGATGCTTATGCACTACTCTTGTCATTTTAATTATTGGTGTTGCTAAAAATATTCTACATGGGATTTTTTTTTTACCTGATACACTTTCTTGGCATGATTTTCTAGTACCTGAATGATACTTTTAGCCTAAAAGTATTTGCCAAGAAGAGGAAATGAAACTGGTTAAGATAAGTACTTTAAAAATTATCTCAGAATTTAGATAATTTAGATACCAAGTGAGTTGAAATTATCTCACAATCCTACTTCTGTACATTAGCAAGATTTTGAGTGAGGTAAGATTTGTCCTTGGTTAATTCCTCTAAAGGATGGCCAGCTCAGCTTAGTAATGCTTGTTTCATTCTCACAGACTGCTGTGTGGTGTCCCTGAGTTTTCTGGAAGTTTTTTGCCTCTTACTTGAGCCACATCATTGCCAGATAGGAATTTCAGTTGAGATTAAAACCGTTTTGTGTTTCAGATGGATATGCAGATTGCTGGTGAATTTTTTTCAACCGAAAATTAGGGAAAGGGAGCTTTAGTGGCAAATTGGGCTCTTGTGTCTTTGTAGCCCAAGTGTCTCCTTGATTCTGTGTTTTGTAGTATCTATCGTCTTTCTTTTCTTCTTTCATTCATTCTTTCTTTTCTTCTTTGTTTCTTCCTTCCTTCTTTCCTTTTATGTTTCTTCCTTCTTTCCTATTCCTTCCATCCTTTTTTTCTTTCATTCTTCCTTCTTTCTTTCCTTCTTTCTTTTCTATTTCTTCCTTCCTCCCTCTTCTCCTCCCTCCCTCCCCTTTCCTTCCTTCCTTCCTTCCTCCCTCCCTCTCTCTTTCTTTCTTTCTCTCTCTTTCTTTCTCTTTCTCTCTCTCTTTCTTTTCTTTGCTTGCTTCCTTTCTTTTGTGTTCTTGATTTATACTGCTTTAAAAATACAAGCTAATAGCCATGGAGATGAGTGAAGAATCACATATATATACTCATATTTTTGTAAACACATAGCATGCGTATATATCTTGGTGACGTAGAAGTTAAGTGATTATGCATGTAATCTGGGGACATAGGTCAGCAATAGAGCAGGTGCTTATTATGGGTAATGTGCTGATCCCCAGCACCATAAGTAAATAAGTAAGTGAATAAATATTATTAGGACTTGGGTTTGGTGACACAAGGCTAGTCTGAGCTACATAGCAAGAAATGATATTTTTTAAGCAAAGAAACATGGTGTGTGTTTATAGCTTGTGAGAATAATCCAAGGTACTTGGGACAGATATTTAGATACTGAACAGACAAATCTATGAGACTCTTATCTCCAATTAACCAGCAAAAATTGGTTATAAGGCTCAAGTGGTAGAGCACTAGGTGTGAATGAGAAAGCCAAGCGAACATGCAAGTCTCTGAAGTCAAGCCCAAATATTGACATACATGCAAAAAATCTAAACAAACAAAAATCACTACATCCAAAACAACAATAAAACAAGTTTGGGAAAGCAGGATTCCAATGAGAAATCCCATGTTAAGTGTTCAATTTTATGTGTGACCCAAATTCAGATAGTTGACTAAGACTGCTGCAAGTATTAGATGATTTCAAAAGGCTTCTTGAGAACAGAGCCCAGAACAACAAGGACATAATTGTGTGGGGAGATTGATGTCTCTCATAGTAGCCAAAAGCGTTGCCACAAATCTAAATACTTCTAGTGGAAACTAAGATTATGAAAGAAGCAGTGCATTTCAATATTTTATGAAATGGGTATACTTTATGTAGTTGTTGCATGATTTAATAGCTTATTGCTTCTTCTAATGGACCATACAAAGCAATGCTTCAAAAATCCATCCTACAGTATAGTAATTTATAGGTATGAAGTTTATATGGAATGTCATAAAATGTAACCACATTTTGAGTTAGACTAGTTAAATCAAATGTGATTTCTAGACTATGTGTACACATGATAAGTAGCTGATTCTAAGAACTCTTTGAAACTTTGTGCTCGGGTCCTCAGTCTTCAACCTGCCTCTCTCTAGGGTTGAAAGGAAAAGAAAGTCATTTTACATTCCATCATGCTTTATTAAAACAGGAGATTTGAAAATAGTCTTTTGCTATTCAATCTATCAAAATAAACACAAAAATGTACTTTAGTCTTAAAGTCATTAAGATGAATTGCATAACAGACCTATCTTTCTTCTGTTTTCCTAGTTCAAATTCAAGAAAGTACAAAGACACATAGAGAAAAAGTCTCCTGAATATTTTTTAAGGAAACAGGAACAATTATCTCTTTTCAGAAAATATTTCCAGTTCATCTTCACAGAAAAACCTCAACCTGTCCTACATTTAAATATCTAGTATAGGGGCTTTGATGGAGTAGACCGATAGTTAATTCCAGTGCTTTATATTAAAGATACAGATTTGGCAGGTTCTTTTTCATATTGGATGCTAAGAAACTTATACAATCTAAGTTGCTCTTTAAGAAAAACATAAATATGTAGACATTTTTGGACTTCTTATTGTTAAATGAGCAGACAATTTGATGGTAGCAACATTAATAAATATAGAAACATGTCTCCATGTTAAAAAATAATCTGCTAGCACAGAATAAGGACCACCTTTAAAAAAAGACAATTTTATCTTTTTTTCTGGTCAGGGGGCTTGAATTTTGCTCAAGGCTAGTGCTCTACCACTTTGAGCCACAGCTCTACTTCAATTTTATCATTAAAAATGCTTCAGAATATAGAAATTTGTGCATAGTAACTAGTAAATTTGTCATGAGCCTTAGCATACATTATAAAATGATGAAACTCAGCTTTTGTGCTGTTTTTCTGGACCATCATACGTGGCTTTTTATCAAAGGGTTGCAAGAAAGTGTGTTATTAATAGTAAATAACTGTTTAAAGAACTGTTTGAAACTTCTTTAGTTCAGTATTTCAGCTTATCTGGTTGGTTGATGACTGGGTGGGCTTCTATTTCAAGGATGAGGCAATAAAGGGCAATAGTTGTTTTATTTCATTACTTTGCCCATTTTTATCCCTTTCTGACACTTACCCCTCAAACTTAAGGTTTGGGATTAAGGCAAGAGTAAGTTTAGTTCTGAATTTAAGGATATTCTGAATGAAAGCCATACTTCAGAGAATTATTGTCTTTTTTTCATTCTTAAGAAAGAAGAAACATTGGGCCACAGTTCTCATTTGAATGATATATTCCAGGAAAGATGAGCAGAAGGTCAACCTCGAGCAGTGTCTGAGATAACTCAGGAGCTTAGAAGGGAAGCACTTTACTTATCCATCCTGTCTCCCTTCAGAAAGGGAGAGAATTTCCCATCTCTAAGTCACAGAAATCCTTTCTATCTTTTCTACATCAAAGCCACAGCATTCAGGTCACCAACGGCAGAGAGTCAATTAGAGCAAGTTTTGGGGTCTCTTACTTTTGGAAGAACTTAATGAGATGGAAATTATGTCCCAGATTTTTCCATTGTGCTTTGCTACTTCAAAGAAAATTCCTGATTTAAGCTATTCCCCTCCTAGTTTAGAAGTATATTTTCAAAAACTTATTTCATTTTTCACTCCTCTAGGCAATGCCTAAAACTACAATGAGAGAAATTCTAGACTTCGTGATTTTTATGCAATGATCGAAAGCAGATGACTACAGCATTTTTTAAATAGAAGCATTAAGAATATTTAGTCTCCAGAAGCCTTAGGTCCTCCAGTCTCTAGGGAGATACTCTCAGAAAGATGTGAATGTTAGAGAAAAAGGGAGGAATCCTCTGGTGACATCTAATAGTCTCAGGTAGCACCAGCAATGGCTAATTGGCCAACTGAGAGACCCAGATTTGGAGACAAAAAGTACAGAACTTTCTCAGGAAATTATAGAACTTTCACAATGAATGTAATTTCTCCAAAGGGAGTCATGTTAATTCCATTCTAATCCTGTTATTTTATTCTCTAGATAATTGGTTTGGTGTTTTCTATGGTCCTCTATTGCCAGATTGGAAACAAATGAACCCGTGGACATGTCAAGATATCATCAGTCAAACCTCTTTAAAATTTTGCTTCAGTCTTTGTAACTTCAAATATACAAGTGCTGTATATATCAAGAGCAGATGTCTTGTGAAAATATCTCATTTAGCTAGACCATAGATATTTTCTGCTCATATTGAACATATTTAAGGTTTGAAGGTGTAAGAAAAATAAAATGAGGTTGTATTTTTACTCAAAATAAAAAAAATAACAGTTTGCATGCTGTATTGGTGTGTCTGTGGTCACTGTGTTTCAGGTAGCTCTGTGCTTACATTGTTCATCTAGAGCCACCCAGTGGAACAATTTTCACCTCCAAATGACAGAGCCATAGATAGTTAAGGCAGTGAATATGGGATTTTCAGAAACATGATTCTTAATGAAGTGTAGCAACCATTAGTGATGAGATTGAACTGTCTCAGTTGAAACAATTGTGACAAGTATAGCTTTAAGAGTTTCCTCTCTTCTTTTGTATAGCCTGGCTGTGATAGAGTCTTTCTTTTGTATTATTGTATTATGTGAATTGCCAACCTCACAGTTTGAGAATCTCTATATTTTTCTTCCAAATTTAAATTTTAGTGTCTGGGTGTGTACAGAAGGGTTATGTAAGTTAATGGATACATTTCTTGTCAAACATTGTTACTCCCTCAGTCATTTTATTTCTTAGAAACATTTTTTTTGAATTTTTCTTTTAGTGAAGCATCATATACATGTAGCAAAGTAAATGAATTTGTGTATGTTCATAGGCCTGTGTGAGTTTTATCTGAATAATGACTCAAGCTATCCCTAACTACAGGAAAATGTGCCTTTGTGCCATTCCCTAGTGATATGCTATTGCTGACTCATGTCAATTTACCAGATCAGATTGTATATGTGTATATTCTCAAATCTGTTCAGTAATGTCACATTGCTAGCTTGGGATCCACAATGGTGAGTGTATTTGTGCCATAGGAATTGGGAAATACTATAAAATCAAGTGTTTTTTGTTGTTGTTCTTTGAGGGTTTTGTTTTTGTTTTTGTATACTGGTTGATAAACACATACACTGGAAGGACCAGTATCGTCACTGAATCATGCACTTTTCTATCTCTTATGACCATAGATTTATTTTGTCTGCTCTTAAACCTTCTCTAAATGAAGTAATAAAATACGCACTCTGGATTCTTTTTGCTTAGCATTTGATCTGTGTGATTCATCTATTATGTTGCATGTAGTATAGTTAATTCTCATAGCCATTGTGTATGAACACATGTATTTATCTATTCTTTTGCTGATGGGCATTTGATTGCATTAATATGAATAAAATTGCTATCAACATCTCCTCATGTCATTCTCTTTAAATGTATTTGTGGACACAGGCAGAGGTGGAACTGTACATATAATTTTCATAGATTCTATAACGTAGTTGTAATAATTTATGTTTATAATGGAAAGGTATGAAAAACTCAATCCCATCTTCTGAAAATAGAGAAAAAATACCAATGAAGGTCACTACTGTCAATTAGATCAGAAATGGCCAAGCAGTGGGAATTTTTTTGAATTAAGTTTTTTATTGTGAAAATACTGTACAGAGGGATTACAGTTACATGAGCAAGGTAATGAGTACATATCTTATCAAGCATTGTTGCCTCCTCCTTTGTTGTTCCCCTACCGTCCCTTCCTTCCCACCTCCTCAGCTACACCCCCCCTTACCCCTACCCCTCACCTAAATTGTAAAGTTAGTTTTTCAACATAACGACTTGTACATCTCATTGTTGCAATGGGTCAATATGTATCCCTATTTAAATGATTTGTTTTTTCCCTTTCCCTCCCTGTACGGTTAGTTACCTCAATTTTGTGCTTCCTTAACAATGATAAAAAAATATCCTTCTGTGATCATATGTGGTCTTCCAGGAGCTATATGAGAAACAGTATTATCATCTCATGTCTTCCAGTCATATTCTTATGAAATAGGTAATATTGTTATCCTCATATTTCAAGTGAGAATACAGAGGATTAGGAAAGTTAGGTAACTTGCTCAGTTACTAGATAGTAATTGGCAGAGTTTGGAATCTGACCTTAACAAATGCCTCCCCAACCCTTGACTCTTCATCGTGCTGGCTTCTACATGATATACCAATCTGTAAACATGTCCTATTTTATTATAATGAACTGATAATGTGTTTGTTTGCTAGTATTCTGAAGCTCCCTGCCTCTTCTTATGTTTATAACCCCAGTACACCATGAATTGTACTCAGTAGTTTGTGATTAAAAATAATAGATTTACTGAGGGTTTCCTATACACCAGAATATGCTATATGCATTTTAGATTATAATTCATTTAATCCAGAAACACTCTATTAAGTGGGTACTATTTTTAGACCTAGGCCTAGAGAGATTAACTATCACCAGAGTATACAGCTATTAAAGTGTTGTGATTTAGTCTATCAGCCCATCTTACTTTACAATGTAGCTGAAAAAAATAGTAAGGAAATAATTACACACAAAAGTGTGTAATGTCAGCTACACATAGGAGTTCAATAAATATTACAAATACAAAGACCTTGTCCAGGCTGGATTAGCAGGAAAACAGAAACCATCTAGTCATTTCAAGCAGTGCAAATATAACAGAAGGAACTTCTGTATTGGCTAATGTGAGCGTCCATAACAAAACATACCTGGTAAAATGGCATTTCTTTCCTGGAAGCTGATAATTGCAAGACCAAAAGGATGACTGATTCAGTTCCTAGTCAAATGTCTCTTTCTGGCCTTTAAACATCTCTTTCCTGTATCCTTGTATGGGTGAGGAGTGGAGAGCATGCCCTCTGGTTACATCCCCCTGTGAGGACAGCAATCCTATCAGCTCAAGGTTCCATTCTACCATATTACATAACATTAATTGCTAGACTTCCTCCATAATGAGAGTTAGCTTCAACATTGGGACTATAGAAAGAACCTTCCATTCTACCATATTACATAACATTAATTGCTAGACTTCCTCCATAATGAGAGTTAGCTTCAACATTGGGACTATAGAAAGAACCTAGCAGTTGGTTACATGGATGATGGAGAAAGTAAGAAACTAAATGGGAATGGGAGGTAAATCAGAGACCCGCAATGGTGGGAAGCTGCTACCATCCTTGTAACTGCTACCATCCTTGGAACTGCAAGGAAAGAAATAATGTTATCAGACCCCAAGTTGCAGGGCCACTTGGTAGAAAGTGGAAACATGGCATGGACCACAGTGGAGGGAATTGTCTAGGAAATGAAATGAGGATGACTCAGCAGCTATTATTAGAAGAGAAAAGAGAAAGAAGTGCCCTGGCCTCTCCCTTCCTGCCAGACCTCCATTGGATGAACCCACATAGTTGCCAAAAACAATAGAGCCTAGGATAAAGTTTCCACTGATACAGAGCAGAGCTGGGAAGGAAAAGAACTGGATCAGAGCAGACAGGAATAAAAGTGTCATAGTAATTAGAGAACCAAGAACAGACACACAGGTACCAAACTTTTGGGGGAAAGGGCATAAAATGGCAAAAAGTGTAACTATAATGAGGACTTGGAATTTTCCTAAGGAATTACATAAAGTTGCTTGGATTTTTTTTCTCTTTTGACTAAAGCTCATGGCATTTCAGAAAGACAGAAGCAGTTGTTCTTAACTGGAGGCCATTTTCCCCTAAGGGGATATTTGTCAATGTCTGGAGAGCATTTTGGTTATCACAACTAGTGAAGGAGAGATGTTATGAACATCTGGTGGGCAGAGGCTAAGGAATCCAGCCATGCTACAGTACACAAGAATTACCCATTTCCAAATTTAATTGTGCTGTGGTTGAGAGCCTCTGTTTAGAGAATCACATATAAATAATAATTTTTTAAAGCAAATCTTACCAGGAGACAGTGGCACACATATGACTATGGAAAATGAGCTAGCGTAGGGGCAGAAGTTGTCATCAGCCAGTCCTGACAACTGGCCGAGCTTATGATCCTCACAAGTCATTTACTTTGAGTTTCCTCATCTTTCAGTGAGAAATTGTATTGTGAAAGTATTTAAGTTTCCTCTACTCCTTGAAAATACTTCTGAAATGTGTTTCTGTTCAGGTTGGAGGTATTTTAAAACAAGAATATTCATTTTCTGGGTGGGAAGGGGAAACAAAGAGGAGGCAATAATGCGTGATAAGAAATGTACTCATGGGCTGGGAAAGTGGCTCAGTGGTAGAACGCTTGCCTTGCATGCCTGAGGCCCTGGGTTCGATTCCTCAGCACCACATAAGCAAAAAGGAAAAAAGCCGGAAGTGGCGCTGTGGCTCAAGTGGTAGAGTGCTAGCCTTGAGCTGAAGAGCTGAGGGATAGCGCCCAGGCCCAGAGTTCAGGCCCCATGACCGGACTCCCCCCCCCAAAAAAGAAAGAAATGTACCCATTATCTTGCCCATGTAATTGTAACCCCTCTCTATTCTCACAATAAAAAATAAATTGAAAAAACATAAAAAAGAATATTCATTTTCTTATGATAGTTTATATAAATTAATCTTATTTTTGCTATTGAAAATGATTTTTGAGGGAAGTTTTTTATTCCTGAAGGGTATTAAATTCAGACTTTAGAATGTGTTCACTCTTTTCCCTTCACGCTTCCAAGATCAAACCAGAATGTTAAAAGAAAGTATTCAGTTTGACTATAGAACCATAGCAAGAACAAAAGAAAAAAATTCCTCAAATTGACAATTCAATAAAGATAGAAACATTCTTCAAATTCAGAGAACTGTAAGAATGGTCTTCCTGATGTTGAAGATTGTATAATTGTTCTGGTTTAAGTATACAGAGTTTATGTTAAAGCTTGGCAAATACTCCTCAAAATCTGCCTACTTCTCCATTTTTCTGTCACTATGATTCTATCTCACATTTTATAATCTCTCTTCAAATAGGATCATGGCAATAATCTCTTAATGGACTTTTCTACATTTTTTTGCATCTTCAAATCTATTTTACATGGGACCTTAGCAGTAAGCCATCTAAAATACAGATATCTTGTTATACCATTCTTCCAGGTCTACAGCGACTTCAATGATGCTCTGTACACTACAAGGCCCTTCCTAAGAACCAAGTCCACCCTTCCTGCTCATGCCATTACCCTTCTATACTCAACCTCTGGGCCTTCAACATTCCACTCTAATGTTATCCAATCCCACTTCTGTCATGCTGTTCACTGTGCCACTAATGACCATCATATTCATCTAGCTTGATTCCTAAGGTCTATCTTAGATGTCACCTCCTCTAGCATGCTTTACTGGATTTGGTCAGAACTGAGTTAACCTGAAATTTATCTGTATTCTCCTATTGCATATTGTATTAAATATCACTTCTCCAAATGTGTTTTGGCTAGATTTTTATTTTCTCTTTTAATATAAGTACCATGAGTACTCCTAGGCTCCTGGATTAAATTTGTACCTCAGACAATAACATGATATCTAGAATATATTAACAGCTCAATAAGCATATATTGTCATTATCATCACCTGATCCATGTGAAGCTGTCCATTGTTACCATATGAAGATATTTGGTTGAATAACAATATATTCATTTGTAATCACCTTACTGAAAGCATCTAGAACTATTATATGTCAGATACTATTCTAAAGAATTCATATATTAATTCAATCAAATCTTACGGCAATTCTATCATCAGAGTTATTTTTATTTTCAGACAAGGAAGGTAAAATATCGGGAGGTTAAGTAAGTTGTTGAATATTAATAGAACTGAGATTCTAACTCAGGTTCTCTAGCTCTACATATTGCATTATTAACCAATGACAGCAAAATAATATTTTTTTATAAAAATACTGACTTGATTAAGAATTATCAGGACACAGTGACATATTGCCATAAATACAAATGGAATGGTCTCCTCCCACCCCACACTCTGTGTCCAAGTTTACCACAAAGATTTGTTTCTATGTATCTTCCTCTTTAGGGAAAGGAAACAATTTGAAAAAACACACACATATATATTAAAAACCTTTGTGTTTTATCCATAAATAACTTAGTAATTGCTAAATGTTTGCCCAACCTATGTTAACCGAAAAGGAAATTGTTCTTACCTTTTTTAAAAATTAAAATTGTCACATCCATAAATGGAATTTAATAAGGCACACTACAACAAGCTGCAAAAGAGAGCAAAATATAGTGCGTTCCTCCCCCCTCCCCAGATATATTAGTTTCATTATCTATCTCTGTTATAGTGGATGGCACTCAAGAGCTATAAATGATGAAATTAGATTTATTAAGATTCAGCTCATGGCTTCAACATCTAGTAGCTAAATAATCTTTGACATATTCTTTAATTTTTCT